TTTTTCTTATATCTCATGACAATTTCAGACTGAATATATTTCAAAATATATTTGTTAAAAAATATGTCTTTATAAAAACGTTGCCAACATAAAATAAAAACCTGTTTAAAATTATTGGCAGTACTTTAATAATTTAATAAAATATGTAGGTATAATTACTAATTTATATACGGGAAGGCTATAAGCCGATTCTACTTCTAGCTAAATTTAATTTTTTATATTCTCGAATACTCTGATAACAGATCCGAAGAACTATTATTTGTGGAAGCATTCAGTAGGTAATTCCAAGTATTCATAATATTATGATTTAATGACTGTCGTGATTATCGCGATACCAAGGTACAAGCAAGTTTTAGGCTCTGAGAATCCGAGCAACAAGGTTTAGTCGTGTGCGATCGCTTCTATAGTGCGGTTTTTTATATATCGGTTTTCATTCATTTTAAAATGCCAAAATTAAAAGTCGGGTCGAATCGAATTTATAGTTACGTGACCGAATTTGAAGAATATATATTTGCATCCGATGGAGGTGTTTTATTTTGTAAAAATAAAGGTGAACAGTGACAAACGTTTTTGCGTGACTTAGCATTTAAAAAAACATTTATGCAAAGCATTGTTAAAATCAAATATTCCGTTGGAAAAACTAAGCAACACCCATTTTTGATCGTTTCTGAAAAAATATGTGGATAAGGACATTCCTCCTGTGTCTACATTGAGAAAAACCTACATCTAAGATTGCTACCAAGAAACGATGGACGAGATAAGAGATGAAGTGCAAAATAAAAATATTTGGGTATCGATTGACGAGACGACAGATTCAGAAGGTCGATATGTTGTGAATGTTATAATTGGCACGTTACCGGTAGACGAGCCTGGTAATTTTTTTTTACTTGCCTCGGAAGTTCTGAAAAAACAAAACCATATCAAGTACCAAATAAATACAATCAGTACCTAATGCAGCACCATTTATGGCGAAGGCTACAAAATCCATACAGGCCTTTTACTCCAAAATGATACATGTGACCTATCTGGCTCACGGTGTACACCGAGTATGTGAGAAAATTCGAGCAGATTTTCCTAAAGTCGTTGAACTTATATCCAACATGAAAAAGGTATTTTTGAAAGCACCAGCTCACATCGAATTATTTCGCAAAGCGGCCGCTTATACGCCATTGTCCCCTTCACCAATAACACACTAGGGTACCCAGGGCCGTCCCGAAAGACAAATCATGGGGGGGTGGTTTGATTCATAATTTGCCAACTCCAAAAAAAAAATTTCTCGCTTCGCTCGACACTTACCTCCTACCTGCGACTACATGCATAGTAGTCAGTAGACAAATGTTATACAATATTTTATATTTTATTATGTTCTTACTATGTTCTTTTATTATATCAACAAAAAAATATTATAATAAACTTAACAGTTAACACTAAATTTATATACGTCGGTTTTTAAAATTGACCATTGATGTGCTATTTTATTTATATCCAATAGGTCAACACAATATCTTTTTCTACTCCCAATACAATTAAAGAGTTTAATCTCTCATCAGAAATTGTTGACCTAAGATGTGTTTTAATCAATTTTAGTTTACTAAAAGATCTTTCGTTTGATGCGACTGTTACAAGAGAAGTCAATGCTAAACGACAAATTTGATTAGCACATGGTAAAATATGTTTTACTTCTTCTGTTTTTTCCATTAAAGAATTAAATGGTAATGTTCTATCTTCTTGTAACATACTAAATAATATTTCTAATTCTGTTTGAACTAAATCATAATCTAGAAGGTAAGCACCTACACTGCTTGGTGGGAACAAAGAAATGAAATATTGCTTTTATTAAATGGTTGAGTAAATAATGGTTGAATAGAAGAAATACATGATTTTTAATTATCATTTGTTAGTTTTAATAGGGTATCTAGAACCATTTTAAATTCTTTTCTATAAAATAGATGCATTGTGAATTCAGCTTGGGTTGTGACTTGTGGCATTACAATCATATCGTTTAGGAGCTAATCTTTTACGATGATGGTTTTTAAAATCAGCGCACAATTCCTTATCAGTTATCATTACAGCTTTATTAAAAATAATTCAATGATTATATGACAGAATATAATATATTATGAAATTTCATATATTCTGTGATTATTCGAATATGTATAGGCAATTTTGTATACTGTTATAATATTATATATGCGATACATTGATAGGTAAAGTCTAAAATATTATAATAGTATTAACTGTGTTGGACAGTTGGCAATCGGAAAATTAACTTATAATACCTTCATATTATTATAAATTACAATATATTATTATGATATATTTGGACTTAGTAGTATATACAAAATTATTAAAAAACTGTAAAAAAAAATTATAATTTGCCGAGTGCCAACTGCCCAACTCAAATACTTAATGTAGGTATCAATGTGCCAACTGACATATACATATTATACGCTCAGGGGGGTGGGACACCCCCTAAAACCCCCCTTCGGGACGGCCCTGAGGGTACCTGGTTGAAAGCTTCTATGTATTATTGTGAGCATTTTATATTAATACAAAAAGTAGTTAATATGCTTTATGCTGATGATGCCGTGGAAGTTGAAAAAGTAAAAAAAAATAATATGTGATAAAAGTGTTCAATCAAATTCAGTTTTTATTCACACTAACTATGGTTTCTTATCATCAGGCATAAACCGTTTAGAAACTCGAGTAATATTTTTAGTTGAAGCAATTTAAATTGTACATAGTGTCATAAAGAAATTAAAGTTCCAAAAGGCGTTATAATTTACAATAAATTTCAACAACTTATAGGGATAAACGAGGGGTATAAGACTCTGTTAAACATTTCAAAAATCTTATCAGGAGAAGTAACAACAACAGATGGCCTTTCAGAAGATCTTAAAATTAATGACTAAAACTTAAAAATAAATGCATATTTTAGTGATTTTAAGCTCATATTTTATATAGGGTGTTACCACTGGGTATCCTCCCTAATCTCATGATTCATGTTAACCACTTTTATTTGTCACTTATCACTCCTACTCATTGTACAAACAAATGTATACAATGCAGATTTATTTCAATGTAGTAAAAATAAAAAAAAAGCGCATATTTTGATATTTTGATAGTTTATAGTGTATGAACTTCTGGCCCCGACTTTCCGGTTAGTGTTTTCTTTAACTATTTCGTTAAAAATATAAAATCTAATAGAACGCGGGCATAAAGAACTTGAAAATAACGAAAATCGATAAGTATAATATTTATACGCACGAATATTTCTTCTTTTATTTTCGAAAGACAGGCTGCGATTAAACATTTTTTTTTTATTACATTATTTATAAAATGTATTTTTTTTACAATAACAGCATAAAATACAAATAATACAATATATTATAAACACGTACATAAACGTATTATTTATTTGTAAACATTTCAAATTCGAGCAAAAAATTAAAATTCTATTTGATGTTTTAATTTTTATTCTTATATATAAGGGCGCATGTAAGCTGCAATCGAAATTAACTACAGGTAAAAGAAGGTGCATGTAAATTCCACCCGAAAAAACTTTTTAATTAATAAACTACCTACTACTATTACCCGTTTACTTAATGAAGTTTAAAAGTTTAAAATTAATTTTTTTTTTGTATTTTTCAATTAAAACCGAGCAAAATTGTCTAAAAAGTAGTTTTGAATATTTATTTATTTGTTTGTATATATAATTATATGAACAGGCGAACCCATAAGCGTAGCCCCTGTTTGCAGGAGGGGCAGTCATAATGGAACAAATAAAATATAATATGTTGAAATAAAAATATAGAATAAGTTTACTAGGTACTTACTGTTATTATACAAATTTGTGAATGTGCCATTTATTAATTATTTATATTAATAATTATATGAGTGATAACATAGATTAATCATTATAAGTATATTTTATTCAGTGGCGCCGAAGTCCAAAATTTTAACTATGACTTTAAATACCTCCACATAAAATTTTGACAACCACCTATTTATTATAATTACCTTACCATACAACAAGTATTGTTTTTATGTTGTCTATTAAACAAATTGTTATAAAATAACTCTAGGATGACAAAGGTGACCCCTTACCTACTAAAATCACCTATGACAATTGTCGTGGGTAAATATTTATTTTGGCGCCACTGATTTTATTATATTATTATATTTATTTTTTCCTGGCGGAATTTACAAATCCATTTTTGTACCTGCATATATTTTTTCGGTCGGGATTTAAATTTAGGTACCTTTTTACCTGTTCATTTCAGGCGGAATTTATAATCTCCCATGTATAAATAATTACCCAATTATGGGAGCCCCTGGGTTGCAGTTCCCACCTTTTAAATCCGGCCGCCTTTGAGGGTTTACTAGGGATATACACATATATATATATTATATATGTATATATTTAACACAGTGATTTACCCCGATCCTTTAATTTTTCATTAAGTACAATCGGATTATTGAAATTGTTATGTACCTATATAATAATTCTAAAATCACGTTTTCAAATACTTAGAACTTTTATGGCATTCAAGGAGTGTCTCGTGGTGATACATACTCGTTTTAAAAATGAAAACCTTTCCACTGTACATTTATATCAAATTATAGTTTAAAAAAATACTGATGCAGGTACTTATTTAAATTACTTTAAAATAATTTTCAGTAATATTTAGTCAAGTATCTAATTATAATTATCAATAACTATAAGCTGCTAATAGAATAACATCAAATGTTGAATTCTAATATTCAAATAATCATAGACCCCATGGCCGGCCCTATCCTATTAAATTACATTATATCTGTAGTAGGTACAGGTACCTGTAATAAAGTTACACAAATTTTCGATTTTAATAAATCGGCAATTTCGAAAATAACAAAAAAATTGACAGACCAATAATTTAAGCAATGAAGAAAAAAAACGGACAAATGATATTATATCATAATTATTATGAGAAAAACAAACGTCGAAGGCTCGTACTTACCGATCAAATGGTTGTATCTGATGCCGAACGACTGCAGCAGGACGCCGAGGTGAGGCGATTTGACTTGCGAGTCCTCGACGACCAGCCAGTGTATGTCTCTGACCAGCATGAGCGTCTGCGCCAGCCTGGTGAGGTCGGCCACCTGTTCAGGCCGCCGGTACGTGGGCGTGATTACGTAAACGGTGCTCGGTTCGATGGCGGCCATTCCGAAGCCGCCGCCATAGCCACCACCGCTGGCGCCGTTACCGAAGGCACCACCGTTGCAACTGGCACTGTACACCACGAACCGGGCTATCTGCCGGGAGATGCCCATCAGCAGGTCCCGGGACACGCCGGCGCTCTCGTCCACCACCACCTTGGACAGGGCCATGGACACCAGGTCCTCGGCTACCAGGTCGGGGTGGGCCACCGGTTGACCCTGTTGCTGCGTCCAGGCGCCGGACGTCTGGTACTGCAACAGCACCACGAACACGGTGCCCATCGCCAACGTCCACAGGATGCGCATCTGAATGGATACACGCAGCATCGCAGCAGAAGGGTGCCATCAGTCAGAGAGCCGCCGCGTCCGCGTTCTGAAAAAACGATACAACAAAATGCGTCATTATAATATTACTATAGTAATATTATACACCTATCCGATGGTGTTTATTTTGTCGGTTTTCACTTTTCTCGGCGTAAGACGTATTCAATTAAAAATTAATAAATGCTCTTTCTTAGTAGAAATGTAGAATATTGTGATAGTAGATATTTGTATTACTGTTACTACTGTTATTATCACTATTATTATAATTATTATTATTTTACACTATTACGTTGGAGGCCAAGGTGCAGGACATTATCTTGTTAAAAAGTTAAAGTTAAGTTATAAAGTTATAAAAAATAACTTTTTAACTGTTTGTGTATACCAAAATACTAGGGCAGTTTATAACTAAAAAATATTATAACTTGAAAAAAAATTACCTTTTTTTACTCAGTTAAGTTAATAATATTTTCTATCTTAACTTTAAACTTATCTAGTTATTTTTTTTTTGTTAACTTTTAACTTAACTGAAGTCAATTTAATTTAATTAACTTAACTTGCCACAGTTAATTATTTCCATTAACTATTGCCCACCTTTGGCTAGAGGTTATGTAATTATTCTTTTTCTTGTGAATAATGTGATGAACGTGGAATACAAGTAGTCGCTTATTTTATTATTAGGTTGAAAGTTTTGTGAAAGTAATTATATTGAAATTTAAAAGTGATTATACTGAAAATAAGACTTATTTCTTACAATATCCTGCAGACCAACAAACCGTGTCCTCTCAGAATCGATTTTCTTATACAATGGTATCATTGAATTCAAGTTTAATACGATCCCATTATACATTGACCCACTTGTAACTCACTGTACAGTAGAGCGACATTCACTACACGGTTTTTGTTTTTATTTTTAAATTTTAAATATTTAAATTTAAATTACTAGATTCTGTGTTTATAGTAGAAAAATGCTTAGATCTTTGACTTTAATGGTGGTTTCAGGTAGAAAATCAGATGTAGGTAGTACTTTTAGGGGGTCATATAATAAATTGAAAATTCTCTGTACTTTACAAAATAATCAGGAAAAAAAAAGATTTTTTTACCAGTTATTTACCTAATTGATTTTGTTTTTTATGTCTTTCAAAATTAAATGACCGTAGGACTTGACATTTTGCAAAATATTTTTAGTGGCATTTACTAGACATGACATAAGTTTGACTCTTTTTGTGCTATTTGTAGATATTTAAAATATTGATTATATATTTTTGATTTTTTGATTTTTGATGCAATTTTTGTTTTTGGGTAAAAACCATGAAAATTGAATACAAGATTCTTTACAAGTTAAATCATCTTTTTTTTAAATCAAGCAGCATTGAGGTAAGTTCTTATTCATATCAAACTAATACACTAGTAATATTTTAACATTATTAATAATTACTTCAAAATAATATTATTAAAAGATACATAATAATAATATATTTTATACTTGTGAACAATTTACACAGCGTTAGTTGATTAGTTAAAAATAAATATCAGAGACTGGGCCTTTTATAACAAGATAAATATAACAACCCTACACAATTAAATAATTCCAAGTACTTTTAACGCATTTTTATTATGCTTAAGCCATTACGCTTCTATTATATTATATCAACATGGTGTAACAGGATGACTTGACAAATTAAATAATAGGTACTTCTGTTATAATCAATATTACATTTATTTTATAAAATATATAATTTATAAACCCTTGCGTTTCAATTACAGTATAACATTTTTTTTTATTTTTGATATTGAAAATATAAATTTTAAATTTAATAAAAATGTTTAAAATAGCCATTCTATTAACCTAATTTATTGTATGAACAATTTTGATGATAAACACGCTTAATTAAGTCAAGTAGTTTATTTTTTAAAATTTTTTAGGAGTACCTACTTAATTTGTAACGTACCTAATAAATTTTTTTTAAATATTCTTTTCACGAATTTTGAGACATACATATGTCTTAAGTTATTATATAATTTATAGTCTTATATAATTTACATATTTTTTTTCATACGATTAACTAGTATAAATTTTTCATTTTTCATTTGTAATGTCTTTTTACTCTCTGAATATCAAATATATCTTTTATTGTTGTTATATTGGTATCAATGTATCATGATATAAATATATCTTATAACTTACAATTACCTAATAAATCATTATCTGCAACATTATCAGTTACAAAAAAATTGTAAGCAACAAAACAAATTTAATATCTTTTTGGTTATTGAATCGTCTATTTACGTATAACCGTCACTTTAATAGTTTTTGGAAATGATAATGAAGGTAATTTAAAATTTACCCAAAGGCAATAATAATTTATTTAACGTGTTCGTTTTTTTTTCGGTACCTCTTTAAAAAGATTATATTCGTTGTATGGATTCATTTAAAATCGATTTTATGAGTATATGTCAAGCTTTAAAAACTTTTTTTTGACCTTTATCGAGCTAAGTATTTTAACTGTCAACCTTTGTTTCATTATTTTTTTGTCTTGTTTTAACCATAAATTATTTTGGTTTACAAACAGCCGCATTCTAACATAAAAAGTATTCAAACGACAGAGACAGACTGACATTAATAATAATATAATCTGAGACTCTCGTTGGTGTTATTAAAATAACAAAACACTAAATGTTTTTGAGTACTTGTGGATTGAAGCAACCTAAATAAAAATCTCATAACGGTGCATATACAATATACATATAGGTACGGTGTTTATACAAAACATAACAAAACTCAATGAAGAAAATAAAAATAATTTATTAAAAAGATAGTTTTGCTGTGCATTTACTGTTTACATGTTTTCATTAAAAAAGGACTTGTTGGAGTACACAATACACTTTAATTGTTGTAATAGGCAGACATTTTTTTTTTCACTCACAATCTTATATTAATATAATTAAATAGTATATTATTTATATCATAGTTTTAAGTTCTGGTAGGATTGATAAAAATCGTTTATTGAGGGTACTTTATTGCGGGTATCAATTATTTTGATTTATAAATTTCTCAAATTTGTAGTAATTCTATATATGCATTGTTATGTGTATATATTGTAATAATGTGTAGGTTGTTATTGTAATACATAACATATTTAATTAATGAAAAAAGCTGTTATAAAAGTAAACATAGATTATAAGTATCTATGCAAGGTAATGTGATATAGGTAGTTATTTAATTTTATAGGTATGTAGGTGTACAATAATAAAACACATATTATATCAGATGATAAGTTGTTATAATCAGCGACTTTATTTTTGTCAACGACCTCCGTTCATAATAAAGTAAAGCCTATAAATCTATAGCGATGCGTTCACACCACTATAGCAGCATATATAAATACGGGTAGGTAAGCAATCCCAATGAGTGAAACTCAGTCAGACCTCCTCTAGCATTACACATTTTACAATCCCACTTGTATGACTCAAGTCGTGGACTTCGTAACTGTTGCGTAGTAATTATAATATAAATGCCCAGTATGAGCAACTGTTATAGTCTCAAGCAGAATAATTTACTTATTTTGTCTTCAAATCGATATCACATTTTTATTGTATCTATGTTTCGATGTTTGTATTTCAAAATTATTACTTAAAATGATACATTGTGTTTTATTTAATTAACAAATTGTGTCGACCGTCGTCCGTCGTTAATAAACTGTATTCTTGTCTTGACAGCCAATACGTCGTTAAATAATCGAATAAACGAGTAAGCAGTGTCCTGGACGGTGCACTACAAATTTAATATTTATGGTATTAGTAAACCAGCCATGGGCTACTGAACCACTTAGCATTCCACGTCATATTAGTTACCCCAATTGTCAGCATATAAAAAACACGATAAAATATATTTTCAGTTGAATATTTTTCTTTATCATAAAATATTAGTTTATTCATGTGTACTTAATTTATTTAATTATTTGAGAAAGATCGTGATTTCACGTCGAGTAAATACCTATACATAGATATTCGATATTACCTATATAAGTTCTATTGTAGAGACCTACTAAGAAATAAAAAAAATAAATGACTTATTATTGGGTTATTTCTTAACATTACCAAATACAAAATAAACTAAAATATAAACATAACACCTATATTAGTATATTATAATCCAGATTTATTTTGAGATAATGTATGAGATACAATAAAACTAAAATACTGAAAAAATATTTAATTTGTGCAACTAATTAATTATTGATCATATTATCGTATGATCTATAGGTATTTCAAATGTAGGTAATCATCAAATAAATTAACAACTACGAGTATTTGACTAGGTATCAGGTATGCATTATTTATTTCAACGATTTCTAATAACTAATAAGGTATAACATTTTCTCTTATATAATAAAGTATGGTATATTCATGACTATAAGTAATTTAGTCACTGAATACATTTATTTAAGAAACTACATAAGTATTCATTATTATTGATAGTTATTAATTAGTAATTACGTTTATTTTTAAATAAAATATTTTAAGTGGAAACAGTCCACGGGGTTAGTGTGTCTATCGGTAAAACATCGATTGATTTATAAAAAGCTATAATATAACACTTGATAATTACCAACATATTATATTAAAGAGAAATGTCTGCTTATCGTTTAAATAGAGCAGGTCGAAAGAGGGATCAACCATTCACACCGAACAGTGGCCGACATTCAATTCTCAGAATTTTTAGTGAAGGTAAAAATGTAGGCGGCACTGTCTTTTGTGCTACTCGATGACATTACCAAAGCCTTTGATGAATTACTTGAATATTTACTGACGAAATTATGCGAGTATTCGACCATTTCGAAGACAATTTTGTAGGTAGACCTATGTTAAAAACGAGGCGGAATCCAAAATATGCACATTAACTATGGAAACTGCTATTGCAAGAAATTGATTAGAATTGATTAGACCCATGGATCGGTAGGATAGGATAATGGATTACAAAGTCGAGTAGGTGGGGTTTTTCC